TATGGTGTTCTTCCCAAGTCACCAAGACCTGGTTCCTGCCTCCTGTAACCCTTCAGATTAGGGGACAATGACATTTCACCTCAACACCTTATTTCACATACAGATATGAAGTACTAATGTTTAGATTTTATCATGTTGGCCTGGGGAGAAGCTCAATGGTTAAGAACACTAGTTGCTCTTGCAGAAGACAGGAGTTTGATTTCAGGCACCAACTGCTGTTCATCGACCATTTATAACTCCAAACCCAGGAGATTTGATGCCCTCTTCTCACCTCCATGAACACACATGGTAAACATACATATGTGCAGGCAAGACACTCATACACATAGAATTAAAAAATATTTAATTTTTTAATTTTAATATTTTAAAAATTGCTGTCAGTTGATCGGAAAGAAATTCACTGAGGATTTTTTCTTATGTAAAATATGTTATTAGTGTGACTATATTTCATTTGTTTTACATGAAATATGCTTTGTGAAATAGCACTAATAACACTGTAACTTTAATCGAATAAGTGTACTTGCTAGTGGTCATTCTCAAATAGTTTTGGTGACCACTAGGAGAACAGCTTGGTTGACAGAATTGTCTTGCATGCATGTAGTCCTGAGTTTGATCCCTAGCAACATCGGAGCAGCATGGTTACGTATGCCTGTAATCACTGCACTTAGGTGGAGGAAGGAAGATCAAAAACTCAAGGCAGATTTAGGTAACAAAAAAATTGTCTCAAACAACTGGCTCAGGTAAAAGTAGTCATATTGGTATTTGTATAATAACAAAAAGTGACTTTTTTCTATATTCTGTTGGCAAGAATTAGTAACCTAACATTCTTGAATCAGTAAGATTACTTGTAGTGAGTCAGATTATAGCATCTAACACACAAAATGACTGAAACCATTTGAAAGTCAAATGTCTAAGGAACATTCCAGCCAATAATATGCCAAGACACCCCAGTATACTGTCAAAAGAAAATCTGAATTTTATTAATGAATTTTGCAAATCTACTATCATGTAAAGTGGTGAGCATGTAAAAGTCTTCTGGGACTTTTTTGAAAGAGATACAATCTGTGCTCCACTGGTCCCACTTCTTAGATAAAGCAGATAAACATCTGCCAACAGATATTCTAGAGTAAGAAGAATTTTCTTAAGTAAGAAGATTTTCAAATCTTTTTTGTTACAAATTTTTGAGAGCTCATTGCATGTTTTGATCATATCTGTTGTACTGTATTGTGATAAAAATCTGTGTCACACTTAGAGACTGAGAGCTTTGCTAGACTTCACAGCCAAGTTAATGATATACCTTGAAGTCACTAAAACTTATGACTCCTGTCCTACTGTGTGCTCACACTGCTGCTTTAACTAGCCCTTCAGGGAACAAAGTAACAACCAACCCTACTTGCATTGGGTTTCCCATGTAATCATCTGTCAGAATCTAAGGTACTACTTCCTTACCCTGACCCAGACCCATGCATGTGTATCATTTACTGAAAGCAACAATCACACAGGTTGAAAGGGATCTTCTCAAGTGAATATCCATCATAAATGGTGAGCACATTTGTGTATAACTTTTATGGTTGTTGTCTGAGTCATTTGGAGTCAGAGATTCATCCCTTGTACATTTCTGTTAAGGATGTCTGTAGAGTATCCCATTCCTTCCCTGTGTGATGCTTTCTGTGTTGTTCAGTACACACAGAGCAAAGCTCTTTGTGAAGGACAGACACACAGACATACTGGCACATATACGGACATGGATAGATTCATAAGACAGCCTCTGTCAGGCACAAACCATACTCATAAAACAGAAACAGAGAACTGAACACATGGTAGTGTGATGTAGAGAATTTAACTGTGACTAATTCTTAGTTAAATGACTCCAAGGGAAATGCTTTTATCTCTTTCCTTACTGCCATACTGATGCATAATTGGTGATATGGAGTTAATCACTGTGACGGCTATTCCTAGTTAGCAACTTGATTTCATCTGGGGTTAACTTAAGCCCAAGAGGTTGGGTATTTCTGTCAAGAAATTTTTTCTCAACTAAATCCAACACAAGGAGAAATACTAGAAAAAGCAAGAAAGCAATCTTTCAACAAACCCAAAGAAGATAGCCAAACAAACAATTCCACCTCTAACAACAAAAATAACAAGAAGCAACAATCACTATTCCTTAATATCTCTTAACATCAATGAACTCAATTCCCCAATAAAAAGACATAGACTAAGACTGAATACATAAACATGATCCAACATTTTGCTGCATACAGGAAACACACCTCAGTGTCAAAGACACTGAGAAGGATACTACCTCAGAGTAAAGGGCTGGAAAACAATTTTCCAAGCAAATGGTCCCAGGAAACAAACTGGAGTACCCATTCTAATATCAAATAAAATCAACTTTCAACCAAAAGTTATCAAAAAAGATAAGGAAGGACACATCATACACTTCAAAGGAAAAATCTAACAAGAAGAATTCTCAATTCTGAACATCTATGCTCCAAATGCAAGGGCACCCACATCCATAAAAGAAACTTTACTAAAGCTCAAAGCACACAGTGCAACACACACAATAATAGTGGAAGACTTCAACACCCCACTCTCAGAAATGGACAGATCATGGAAACAGAAACTAAACAGAGACACAATAAAACTAACAGAACTGATAAACTAAATGGATTTAACAGATATCTACAGAGCTTTTCATCCAAAAGCAAAATAAAACAAAAACAAAGAATATATATTCTTCTCAGCACCTGATGGTACCTTCTCCAAAATTGACCATATAATCCATCACAAAACAGGCCTCAACAGATACAAGAAGACTGAAATAATCTTAGATTCCCATGGAATCTTTCAGATCATCATGGACTAAGACCAGTCTTCAATAACAACAAAAACAACAGAAAGCCCACATACACATGGAAGCTGAACAACATCCTACTCAATGATAACTTGGTCAAGGAAGAGATAAAGAAATTTAAAACTTTTAGAATTTAATGAAAATGAAGGCACAACATATCCAAACTTAGGGACACAATAAAAGCAGTGGTAAGAAGAAAACTCACAGCTCTGAGTGCCTCCAAAAAGAAACTGGAGAGAGCATACACTACCAGTTTAACAGCATACCTGAAATCTCTAGAACAAAAAGATGCAAAAACTCACAAGAGGAATAGATGGAAGGAAATAATCAAACTCAGGGCTGAAATCAACCAAGTAGAAACAAAAAGAACTATACAAAGAGTCAACAAAACCAGGAAATGGTTCATTAAGAAAATCTATCTTCCTTCCTTCCTTCCTTGCTGCCTTCTTTCTCTTTCTTTCTTCCCTTCTTTCTTTGTTTTTGATCAAATATAGTCTAACAGGAGACAAACTAAAAAAGGAAACTTCAGTTCAAAAATGTCTTCATCAGATTGTCTCGTAGGCAAAAGATCATTGAGTATTTTCTTAACGGATGACTTACTATTGCAAGTGGCATCTCTGAACAGCTGGAATAAGAAATGAGTCTGCGCAAGATAGTAATTCTATTCCTTTATGGCCTCTTCTTTAGTGCCTACATCCAAGTATATCTTTGATTTCCTGTCCTGAATACCATTCATAATGTACTGTAAGATATAAGATGAAATAAACTCCTTCCTCTTAAAAAAAAAAAAAGCAATGAAAGAAATCTAATATAAGCAGTCTACCATCATGATTCCCCTCACCCACCAACAGTGCCATTGGAGAACTGTTTTGATACAAAGTAATATTCCTTCCTTCCTAAAAATGTTTCTAGGCCTACTAAAATTACTTATTTACAAAATAACTGATAAAAACATTCCTTGGATGGCAGGAGAACAGACGGGGTCAGATGGGAACAACTGTGGCAGGATAATGATAACCCTGGCTCACCAGAGACTAGATTCTCCTCATTGTAAGGATTTTTGTTTTCTGAAAGTAAATCTCCTTTCCTCATTGTTTAGCACTTAGAGCTGATCGTTGCTCTCAATTGCAATTGCTGTGGTCTAAAGACTTACCCAAATTCTCTGATTTCTCGGTTGGTTTCCACTTTTGAAATGCTAGTGAGTCTTGTATTTGATAGCTATCTTTACGTCTCTACTGAAGAGTACTGAAGCTGGAAACCTAGACATGAGGCTGCCAGGCTGTGAGGAGGGCTGAGGTGCTGAGGTCCTGGCCTGGAGCTGCTACTGGCAGCAGTTTTTCCTGGTAAAGTAGTCAGAGGGCCACATTCACTATATTAGGCCTCATTGGGGCATAGCAGACCTCGTGCATGGTCCCTTCCATTTCAGAGTCCACAGTACCCTGCAGCTAACATGTCCTTTCCCTTGACTAAAGACATTAGGGGCTTTGGCTTGTAAGAGGAGAGCAGGCCACTTAGAAATTCAGCTAACCCTGACATTCTTCTGAGAGGCTGTTACATTTAGGTGTCAAAGAAGCAGGTCTAGAGCCACCATGGGAAGTACTAATTCATGCTAAGTACTAGAGGGTCTCTTGCCAACGATGACAACTTCTGCCCTGTGTTTCACTCCAGAAACTGCTGATGCTCTCCTGTGGTGCCTGCTCCAGCCACAGTCATGGTTCAAGAACTTCTGAGGACAGGTTCTCCTCTAGTTTGAGGTGCATTATTAAGAACTCAGATGGAGACAGCAACATGAGTATTGAGGACACAAACTGTCAACAGCCATGTCTGACCTAGACATGGAATTTCCTATGATGTGTGGAAAGACACAGTGGCTATGGCATGGGGTTTGTGGGGAGAAGAGCTGAGAAACACAGAGGGAGAAGAAAGGACAGTGGATAAGAACAGAACAGTGCACACTACTCTGGATAGGAAATCTTACTGTACACACCCATGCATGTGGGATAATATTGAGTCATCCACAGTGTCACACCTGTGCCAGGAAATCAGTACTCAAGATTTTTAACATGACAGGATAGTAGCTCAATCAACTCTTCATTGTGCTTAGAGAGGTGCTGAGTGTTTAGAGCACAGCCTGGAGTCACACAGGTACTAGAGATCATGTTTTTATTGAGGTGCATTACAGGGAATGATCCATCATCACAGATTTGTTCATCTTTGAGATTGTCTTGGGGATAGGCCAGGGGCAGCCTGGGAGTAGGCTTGGGACAGGCTGGTACTGGCAGTGTTGAACTCAAAGAGTACCACATAAGCTCAGGCTTGGAGACTCTGTCTCAGGCTGCTCAGGCTTTTTAGCTACTTTCCCTTTAAGATATCATTAATCCAGGGCATGAATGAGGAGATTCGAGTGAAGACTGAAGGGGGCTTTTCAAATGGATAAATATTGTAAGATGCAATACCATGGGCCACACCAGCACACACTAGAGGTCCCCCAGCATCTCCCTGTAGGTGAGAAAAATAAGAGTATGAGCAAAGATTGCTTTCTCCCAACTTCTAATGCTCCACCATAGCTACTACCAGATTGGAGTAAGAAGTCCTGGTTCCCTATAATTGATAAGTTAGGGATTTAATGACTAATCCCTCTCCTCCCTGGCCTTAACCCATTGCTAGCATGACTACCTTTACTCCCTTCCTATCTCGTATCTAGTCTCATGGGAAGGTTGAAGGAAGGGCTTGGGTACAGGGAGATGAGACAGAAGGGTGATTTCATTTCCCAAATTATCAGGGCTACAAGCCTAAGAAAACTGGCATTAGTCAGTGCCGTGGAGAGCTGTTTGGCACACTTCCTTCAGTGATGCTATCTTCTGATGTGGTGGGAAAGAGCAGATATGTACTCACCTTGTATACGGAATTTAACACTGTGGGACTGCCTACGCAGACCTGGACGTCATCATCATAATACTTATGTTTTTCACAGGCCTCTTTATCCATGATTTTCAGATCTACCTCCCTCAGAGTATCTGATGCAGATCCTGTAACTCCAGTTAGCCCCCAGCCTGCTGCCCAGCACGTCTCCCCAGGCTTGATAGAGTCAGAGGGACCAGGCAGGGGAATTACATTCACAGCAGGAGTCAACTTAGCTTCCTCTTCAAGCTGTTGGGGGAAGGAGAAAAGAGATGTCAAACCAAAGACAGAAACTTAGACATGGGCCCTTTCCCATTGGAAACTCAGGAGTTGGTTCTGAGGAAATGATTTTGACAGAAAAGAATTTCCAGGAGGAAAGATAAGGATAGGAGACTTAACCAGAACAGGAGAAATAAGGGCACCTTCAGTAGCATGATGTCATTGAAATGCAAATTCCAAGTAAAGTTTGGGTGATTAATTTGTTTTTCAACTTTTATCTTCTGCTGTGTGGATTCTGTCTTGCTCACATTATGAGCTCCAAGAATGACAGTGATTTCACTGTTGAAAAATAAAAGAAGCAGTGAGACATGCTGGCCTTAGGAAGACTCCTTCCAAGGAAAAGGCAACAGGGACTAAGTTCTGTCCAAGTGCAGGGAGCAGAGAGACATGAATAGAAATCCCAGGTCCACAGCCCTGCCAGAAGGATGTGGATCAGCAAAACACAGGACTGAAAACTCTTCCCATATCCCATCCTCAGTACTTGGATTGAAACCATGGCTTTCCTCATGGCTCATGAGCCCTCTGCACTGACTTACACCCCAGCCCATGGCTGAGCTCTGGTGACACCAGAGCAAGACAAGAACTGTAGTTTTTGTCATGACTAGAGCCATACTTAAAGTTCTGACCTCTGAAAATGGAGAAGACACATGTGATGGTTCAGTGAGTGGCCTTGTGCTACCTTTTTACTCTCAGTGTCAGGAGAGTCCATCTGGAGAAGAGCAGGGATCATAGCCTTCCTCAGGCCTCTACTGCTCCGTGACTCTGTCTCCTGCATTTCCTCACAGAAAGAGAAGCCTCTTACCTTCCTTTGCAGTGTGCAGCAGTCAGCACAAATTGTGGGGATATGAGAAACGCACCACAGAGGACTGTGCTACCTTGGTAATTGATAATCTTCAGATGGGCCATGTAAGGGCGGGAGTGTGGTATAGCCTCAGTACCACCAATAATCTCCTCTGGAACACAGAACCCCCAGAACCTGGTCACAAACTTATGGAACATGCCAACAAGGCACTACCAAGGGAAGATGGGGCCAAAGTTGAGCGACTTCTCCAAGCCCACCCAATCTTGCATGGGGCTCAGGACCCTGCACATGACCTTTGTTTTTTGTTTGTTTGTTTGTTTTCCTTTGTTTTGTTTTCTCTCCTCCTGATCTTTCCTTCCCAGTGCTCCCTGTCCACCATCATCCTTCATTCAGAATACAATGGTAATTCATGTTTCTGACTTTCTACTTCATCAGACAGTTCTTCAATCCCTCATCCCATCTTCATCAACACTAAGGCAAGAGCAGAGAAGAGCTGCCTATCAGAACAGAGTAATTTGATGAAATGTTCTAAAGGGAAAATTGTTTCTTTCTATTCCTTGACCTACAGATTTCCCTGGACTACCTTAATTTAGGATCCTGCCTTATGTTATGGTCTCTTGTTATCCAAAGTAACAGATTATGGTCCACTGCTGAAACTAAGAGGTTAAGGAGATGAAGACAAAACTCACCAGCTCCAGCTCCTAAAGGCAAGAGAAGAACCATCAGCAATAGTAGGACCTGCATTTTGCCAGTGGTGTTGCCTGGGATGAGCTTCTGGTGTGTTCCTGTCCTGGTTCCTACTTTTATAGCTCCAAAGTAGAAGAAAGGAAGGGCTGCAAACCACAGATCTGGCTTGGACCAGCTTTATTTTCCTTATCAGAAATTTACATAACTGCTCTCTGGTGGTGTGGAATCTGTGGCTAGTTTCTGAGACTCCTGGATCCCAGTATAAAGTCATGACTACACTCCCCAAAGCAGCTCCTAGGAGGCCTGAAAGCAACAGAAAAGGACAACAACCTTGGTCAGGGATCATGTAACTGTTCTTGTAAGCATCCAGGTATTATTATCAGCTTTGAGACCCATGTTCCATATGTGTAAAGTCTCACCTCTGTCATTGTAGCACAAACACAGGCATCTGTAGAGTATGAACATATGGGTGAGAGGGAGTACATTTTATTTACAAAAACTGGTGGTGGGCTGATTTAGCCTGAAGACCATTGTTTGTATTGACCAGTGTGAAGGGATCTCATCTTTATTCAAATAAGTAGGAGATAAGAGAATGTGGCTGTGAGGGGTGAAGGTGTGGGGAGAGTGTGTTGAATACACAGCATGTAGGACATGACCAAGTCTGTAATTAAGTCAGTGGATGCCAACCTAATGGTGTGACCCTTTAATACAGTTCCTCATATTGTGATGACCTCAGCCTTAGATGTATTTCATTGCTCCTTAATAAGTATAATTTTACTACAGATATGAATTTTAATGTAAAATATCTAACATGCAGTATATATGAAATTTGACCACTAAAGGGATTGTGACCCTCAGGTTGAGAACAGTTGCTGTAAGTGAATATCATTAATTTATAATTAATTCTATTAATGGTTTTCTGGTAGGTTCTTGAGGAGCTACACAAACAGACATTTTCACATGCCTCCATGAGGCTCATTTAACATACCATTGCTGCCAGTGGAACCTATGCAGTCCTAAACCAATGTGACTGAGTCAGAGACCCTGGATTCACTCTATATACTCTGTACTCCTTCCTGTGGGATCATGTAGACTGAATACTTCTGTTACCTCTTCAGGATCAGAAATCCATATTTCCTCAATTATGGTTTCGAGATTCCCTGTGTCCCACCCTCTTTCTCTTTCCTTACTCCTTTGGCCTTGGAGAAGCAAAGTGGTATAATCTTCATATCCTTATGGATTAGACCACACAGAGAGCTGATCAACCAAGGCTTCATCACAAAGGTAGTGGAATGAAAGTCCTAGTCTGTGTAGAGACACCACTTATCCAAAACCGCTCCTCAGTTTGAGTGTTGTACTTTTCAGAGGAAAGTTAGCCATGTGTACTATATCCCCAAATTCCTACTTTTATCATGCATCAACACAATCATCCAGAAAAGTCTTTCCTGTAGAAACTATGGATTATTGAAAAGAAAACACCTTCTGTAGTATTTGAGTAGAATGTTCTGTAGATTCCTGTTAGGTCTACTTATTTTATGATATTAATTAAGTCCCACATTTCTTTCTTTACTTTTTGTACTGATCAGACCTACATGTCTGTTGGCAAGGGTAAGGTACTAAAGTGACACATTGTTGCTGTGTGAGATCCATTGTAATTTTAGATTTTGGAGTGTTTCTTTTACAAACTGGGTATCTTCATGTTTGGTACATACATGCTTAGAACTAAGATGTCCTCTTGGTGGATTTTTTAATGAGTATCTAGTATTTTTACCTATTCCTTCTGATCAGTTTTGACTTAAAGTCTCTTTTGCTTATATTAAAATAACCACACCTGTTTGCTTTCTGGATCCTTTTGCTTGGAATACCACTTTCTACCCTTCTAACCTAAAGTGATATCTGTCCATGGTGTTGATGAATATTTCTTGGATGCAGTCATAGGATGAATCCTGATTTCTCATCCATTCTGTTCTGTATCTTTTCATTGGGAATTGAGACCACTATTATTGGACAGTTATCAAGGAGCAGTGTTTGTTGATTCCTGTTATTCTGTTGTTTTGTTGTGAGCCCCACACAACACATTCCATGATGCCTGTGACTTACTAGTTTACATTGTTAATTATGCCTTGTATTTTGTTGTGTGTAGTTGACACTTTCAGTTTGAAATTTTCCTTCTAATGCCATCCCTAAAGCTCAATGGGTGGATAGAAATTGCTTAGATTGATTTTTATCATGACATGTTTTTCTTTCTCCATCAACTTTGATGGATAGTGTTGCTGGGTGGAATAGTCTAGGTTTACATCTGTGGTCTCTTAGAGCTTGTAGAACATCTATCTAGGCCTTCTGGGTTTAGAGTCTCCATTGAGAAGTCAGTACTATTCTAATGGATTGTTATCATCAAAAGTTCTTATGTCATCTTCAATTTTAGTATACTTTTATGAAATATAAGGTTCTAAGTTGGCACTACACAGACTTTATAAGTTTCATCTTTTGATAGATTTTTCAGAGTTTTGTGACTTGGATTTCATCTGAGTTTTACTCCTTAAGGAACATTGCTAGAGAATTGGTTATGTAGGAGGTAGGCACATTTTATAATTTTTTTTAAATTGCTTGTAGTTTTGAGATATGAAGTGAATATTTTAATTTAGACAGTTGGCTGTTATTTAGTGAGATTTTACCCCACTAGACTAGAAATCTAAGTGACCTTAGACTAGGCCTCTTGGGATATCTGAAAGGATGAAGCCCTGGCTTGGAATGTGGGGACTAAGCCAAGGTGTCTTACCAGATCCAAGTCTGGTCTAGGCCCATATCAAGTTTAGGGAGTGGTGAGTCTTGGATTAAAAGAGGATTGTGATATTTTTCTAGAGGTGGGGAAGGCTGGTATCAGGATGCAGTAGGAAAAAAATCACCCAAGTAGAAGAGCAATGTAATATGAAATTGAAAGTAGACTGAGCTTAGATTTCTGTGGGGAAAGGTAAAATGCAAGGTATCACTGTTGTAAAAAAACAGAGGTTGGCAGAGGCAAGCAAAAATCTTGCCTGGGTGAGAGAACACACCAGAGTTTGAGGAGCCGTGTTAAACATATCTTAATTTATCCCATTCCCAACACTGATTAACTATTAAGGGCGGGCTTCTGTGTCCAAGATGTTATAGGTGATCTCCAAAGAGCTATTGTTTCTGGGAGAGACATAATCACTGGTGCCCACTGGGATGTTTCCTATACTCTACAGCATTGGTTCTCAATCTGAGGGTCATGACCACTCTAAGAGTCAAATGGCTCTTTCACAGAGTCACATATCAGAATCCTGCATATCAGATATTTATGGCTATGATTTATAACCGTACCAAAACTGAAGTTATGGAGTAACAGTGAAATAATTTTATGGTTTTGGGTCACCACAACATAATGATTACAACATAAGAAATGCTGAGAACCCCTCCTCTAGTGGATGGACCACAACCATGCACAAAGGGGAAACACTAATTAAACATATGGGTCATGAGAAGAAATCCATTCTGGCTTTAAATATCTCCATAAAGTAAGTAGCTACTATTGACATTATGTCTCCGCCCATGTTGTGACTGGCCCTTCTCTCTTGAAGCTTTCAGCACCTTTAGCCTCTTTAGTTTTAGCATTGTGACTATAATACATCATGAAAATTTTCTCTTCTTTGGCATTCCTCTAGCCTGTGTACTTGGGTGAGTAGTTCCTTCTTTGTGTTTGGGACTTTTTCTTCTATGAGTTTTTTGAGAGCGTTATCTGACCCGACCGGCGGGTCCTAGTTATTCGTGGGGGCGAGGAGGACCACAACCTGAAAGAAGAACGGGCGGGAGAGAGAAAGGACTCAAGCAAACAGTTGCTTGTCAAGAGTCGTGTATTTGAACATGAAATGCTTTTTTATAACATGCTTTACAAGGGGGAGGGGGTAAGAGGGGCCAGGTAGTGGGAAAGTACAGAATCTTCTCGGCCTGTGCCTTGAACATGTCATGGTCTATACGGTACACTGCCTTGAATTATGATCCACCTGCTATTCTTCAAAAGATATGGTACACTCCTTGAGTTATGGTTTTCCTGCTATACACTGCTTGCCAAGCAGGAGCTTGTGTTTGCCAGGCTTCAGGGGACATTGTGCAGGTGGGGAAAGGTAGGGGGTGAGGGTAAGGGCGAGGGTCCTGGCTTCTGGCAGTTATCCATGACTTTGGACTGGAGTTCTTCTCTGTCTTCTAAGTCATGAAGTTGAGAAGGGCTTTGTCAAGGAGCACATGGTGGGACTTAGGTGGGGGGAATGGGGAATATGTATGATCATATTGTGTACAATATAAATTTTCAATGAAATTCACAAAGGTAAAGGAGAATTAAAAATTAAAAAAAAAAACAATTGAAAACCTGCTACATTAGAACCAAACAAAAAGCTCCAAAGAGAATAAATATAAAAGGCTAGAAAGAAAGACTTTAAAAGTTTTCCGCATCCATAGCCACAAGGGAAATTCAGACTAAAGCCACTTTAAGATTCATTTTACTATAGTACAATAGCCATCATAAAGAATGGCAAAAACAATGCTAGCACAAATGGATAGAAAGGGGAACACTTTACATTGTTCTTTGGAATGTAAGCTAGGTGAAGCTAAACTGGAAAACAGTCTGGAGGTTTCTCAAAAAACACTACTACCACCCCTAGCACAACCACCAACATCCCGCCAAAATAAAACTACCTCCTTTCCAGCTAAGTCCCTCCTGAGCACTTATCAAATGACTCTATAATCTCTGATATGGATATTTCCACATCCATGTTCATTGTTGCCATATTCATAGCAATTAAGAAATGAAAGCAGCCTAGCTGCCCATCAACTGATAAAGTGATAATAAAGAGGTACTATGTTCACATATATTTTTAAAAGGAAATTTTCATGAAAATGGATGGAATGGGAATTTAATTTTTTCTGTGTGAGATAGCCCAGAACTCCAAGCACAAAACCTGCATGTTCTCTCTCATATGAGGATCCTAGCTATGTGAATGTATGATTTTGTTTGTCTGACATGGAGTAATTGTGGAACCCAGGAAATCACAAGAGACAGCAGAAATTACCTCCAAGGTGGAG